AAAAGGATTAAAAGGTGAAATGTCTGTAGAGGGGGGGGGGGGGGGGGGGGGGCCTGTGCTCTTTGAATCACTGAAAGCCAAAACGCTGAGAAGGAGGGCAGCCAACCTTAATTAATCTTGGAGATGCTTTTTAGCCGAAAGAATATTGTTTTCAACTATCTAAGAAGGGGAGGAGCTCCGGGGTGGGTGAGATGATTATCTCGTGCAAAAAGCTGCGTAAAGGTAAGACTTGTACATCCAGTTGGCTCACCAACTCCGGAGCTGTTCCCCTCCTGAATTTAGGTAAAAAATATACAAAAATATACAACTATAACATTATCGTCGTCCAAGACGACGATCACCTCACCTTAACTACTATCTCGTCGTCTCACTGTCTGAGACGACCCCCTCTAGCTTAACCCACGCCCCTAAACGGTGCGGGGTCAAGCGGCTCCGAGATAAGTAGGTCCCTCACTTCTACCAAAGCAACAGCAAAGGCAGCACGTGGGTTGTATCGTTTCGATAAACACTTATTACTAACACTTTCCTTCTGTGCATTTTATAGCGGTAAAGACCGCACTTACTATGTTATATGTGTTATACGTAGTTGTATATTGGTATATGATGCTGCATTTGCTAGTCATATAAGACCATCCTTACATCATGCCATCTCTTATATGCTGCAGCATATCTTGACGACCGTTTTTACGTGTTTTAACAACGTGTCCCGTCATTTTGTGCACGGTTTATCGCCCAGTCAGTGTCGCGCAGTGTGCTATCTGTCGTTCGGCCTGCTGGTCAAAGCTACATTACGAACCAACACATATATATCCTTACATATTGATCTTTTCGTATATCGCTCAGCGCCCTATATAAAGGCGTTTCTCGTCATTTATTTATGAAGCCCAGAATCTCCATATTGATCGACGACACATCATATAACGACTATCTCTATATGGGCCGTATGCATAGTGCTCAGGGTAGGGAAGGGAAGAGTCTCCCCAATAAAATGACTGCGAAGGGCGCCTTTTTTCGCCATGGGTCAGATAAGTGACGGTGGAGCAAAAAGCTTCACCCAAGCTGTAATTAGCGAAGAGGATGTAGATTGGTGACTAGAGGATCCGTTTTTTTGGTTTGATTTTTCATTGAATTGAACAGAATTCTGAAGCTTCACTTTGATCATGACTTACATTTGTCATTTTGAAGAAAATCGACATCATTGCAGGAAATTTGAACTCGCTTCCGATATTAGGCGTAGTTCTTGTTTTGCGCCTCTCGGGCTTTGTGCTTCTAGTTTTGCAGCACAAAAGTTAAAACGATGTTTTTTTCAGAATTGTCGCAAAACAGTTCGAGGATAGGGTTTGTAGAAGGGAGTAGGGTGGTCTGTGCTCAGTCACTATTGCTGGATCCACCAACACTTGTTGGTAGGCTTTTCGATTTCAACGGGCTTGGAGTTAATCCACAGCATTGTGAACAAAAAGAGTAAAATGCATTACAGTGGAGGCAATATACCCATGGGCTCTAACTTTCGAAATTTCCGTTATTAGTATAGCCCATTGAATTTATCAATATCAAAGTATTGATGGCTCTCGTGTTTTCGGTGTGAACCCAACTACTTTCCCTATCGCACCTGTTTACAGATATAGCCCCAAATTTGAAGCTGAAAATTCGCAAAATACTGTAGTATGCAACGCCTTGGCGAAGGCAACCCTGATAGTGGTCATCCGACTCCTCGAAAAGATGATTTTTTAGTGTTATGCAATGAGCAGCTCTGATTTTCGACACTATCTGTCTCAATTATCTGTGTAATGAAGAAAGTCGATTTCAACTATAACATTTTGAGCAGGTATTGTATTTTCTGATCTTTTTGCTGGATTTTAATCACCTCTTACTTCTTTCTTGGCTGTTCTCCAGGTTGCTCACTTTGACTTTTAATATTTACCAGTGCTTTTGTCTGATAACAGGTACTTGTTTTGGACGATGGTGGTGAAAGCTCCATAGACTCATCCTTCTCGTCGCTAACTTCAGGTCGAACTGCGCAAAACAAGAATTCTACATTGCGTATCATTTTAGGTTTTTTTTTGATTGCAGAGAAGAGGAGTGCTCACAATAAAGGCATTGTTGTGAGGCACCAGTACACCGACTTCACTGGAAATCGGTTGTAGATGCATACTTCAATTTATTGACGCGTGAACTATACTGAATGATCTCTTTTCCATTGTATCAAACTCGCTGGTATTCACTGAGCTCGATGAGCTTCGCTTCAATTCAGTTCTGCTTCACCTTTCCCGATTCTTCTCCTCGTTGTGTGGTTAGGCTAGTGAAGGTTATGGTATGAGTTGTCGAAATGCCCTCCCACTGGCTTCCATAAATTATCTGAACTATGAGACTCATCAATTTAGGAGTCTTCTTTCATAACTGAAGTCCGCTTGACTTACTGATCGAGTCTTAATTATCATCTTCCCCATCGATTGCGAAGTATTTGACTAGGACCAGCCTATGGTTTGATAAATTCTTGGCCCAGTTGCTGATTGCTTAAGTTTCATTCAAATAGATTATTGACAGAGGGGCTCAAGCATAGCAAAGAAAGCCCCATTGATGAAGGGTTCAGCCTTGATCCATGATTTTTATGGCGCGAGCATCAGTACGGTTCCATTCCTTCATAAGTCTTTCATTTCAGCACCATTTATCTACCCTTCTATAATGTTTTGGGCGAATAAACGGAAGCCCTAAAAAGGTCTAGGAAGTCGCAGATGGTTCATTGTTTTGGGAAATGCCAGAGTCGCAGGAGTCGGTCTACATCTTCGACTTCCTTGACCGGCCAAACCTTAGATAATCGATACCGTACCACTCAGATAAAACCGACCGACAGCGAACCGAGTTTCCCAACTCTTCCCTATTTCACCGCTGTCTTGACCATACTACTCGGCACTTTGCCCTTTCATCATCACACCGTATCACTCAGCTAGACCTTAACGAAGGTTCCACAAGATTTATAGGCCGGTCCATCCCAACAGTGGCTTACTTCGCAGCTCATTGGCTGCTTTCATAGTCCGCCGGCCGGCCAGCGTGCCGGCGGAGGCAGTGCTAGGGTTGAGGAGGGAGGCAGACAGTGTAAGGCAAACAGTCCACGCCCCTTCGAAGGTTGTTTGTTTTCAACCCCTCGAAGGGGCGTGGACTGTTTGCCTATCTGTCTGCCTCCCTCCTTCCCGCTAGCACTGCCTCCGCCGGCACGCGCGCCGGCACGCCGGCCGGCGGACTATGAAAGCAGCCATTCGCATTTCGCGACCGGTTGGACTCTCCTACCCTCATCACATTCTTCTAAGTTGTTTGATTTTCTGAAAAATCTAATTTTGCGTAATTTTTTTGGTATTCGATTCCTATTGTTTTTAGGGATGTGTATATTAGATTTCTTGCCTTCAACGTTTCATAAACATCTCTGATTGCTTTAGGCTGTTCTCGATTTTTTGGAGGGCGCCGGGCAAATTTTCGATTAATATTCTTCACGTCTCTGTGAATCAAAAGTGTGAGTTTTTCATCTCAACGTTTTTACTTATATTTCTCATGTGAGTATACAATTTTGTTTGTGAGCAACACGTTTTTGGTTACTCAAATATATTGTTCACTCACTAAGTTACTCTAGTTCGACCAGTTTTCCAGATTGCCAAGTGGTGTCTTCCTTTTGTATTCTGTGCAAAATTCGTGGAATTTAATTGGTGCGCTGCTTGATGTAAATGCTACCATCCGAGATGTCAAGGCTCGCTCTTTAATAGCCTCTAGCGACTACTAACTGCTTTTTTTGTTGGGCTTAGGTTCTATACCTATAATGTAACTTTATTGATCTTATTGATTGAGATATTGCTTCACTTCATCGACCGACGTGCTTTTTGTGGAAATATATACTGTAGCTTAAGCCAGTGAGTTGCCTCATTCCTATGTACTCGATGTATTATAACCAGTCTCAGGTTCATTTTTTTGTTTTCATTAATTGTTGGGCATACCATCTAAAAGGAACAATGTTAGGGATGGAGTATGAGGAAGAGTGGGTGTCAGAGTTGTTCTGGTCGTCGGCAGCCGTTTATCAGGACCGCGCTTTAAAGCAAGAGGGCGTAGGATACAGCGAAGTTGGTGACTAGGGTTCTGATAGGTGCTATAACCTTACCATGAAGGATTCGTTTCACAGAGTGGAGCTGCAATTCCTTTCACGGAGATGGAGGTTGAGCTCATACTAGAGATATGTAGACAACTATGAGGTCTGCCATCATTCAGTCCTAGGAATGTCAAAGAAGGGGATGTTGGTAGGCAATGTTGCTACTCCTGAGGAACAATCACTGCGAGCTTTTGATTGCAGGTCAAAAAAAAACAAGGGTAGACGAGTTGAAGTGAGACGTCAACGCACTAGGTGTGACCAGAAGAAGTGAGCGGCAGGAAGGCTGTCGGCAAGAAACGAAATCTTGCGGCAGGAGAAAACGAGCAACTTAATTAAAAGCTCCGCTTTGCCGACTTGCAGATAGAATACTGGACCAGAATTTTAAGTAAGAAGAAATGAAGGACAGGTAAGAGAATTAATCTTTCGGAGCAAGGTGTAAAATTGATTCGTTTCAGGTAACCACCACATCGGGGTTGATCTACGCTCGCCGATACTCACTCATTAAAGCTCTCCCTTAAGTGATCTTCTGTTATTCATATTGTGTTCATTATTGTTATTCTTACATATATATTTATATATGCATTGATAAATGAATGGTGATGGTGAAGCTTTATGTTCAGAATGGTGAGTTCAGAATGATGTCAACGAGGGCTAATAGAACCTGCTAACTGCTCTGGGCTGACACTAAAATTCAACCGGAGGGACAGAATCTCAATCATCGAGTTCTTGATGAAATATTTCATTTTTCCTCCCAATAGGGAGTAACTAAGCAGCTCCAGTGCTACTTGTCAAATAATTTTTTCATCATACATGATGCCTTTACCCTTCCACTCTTTCTAATCAAAAGAAAAATTTGTAAATAAGTAAACTGGAAAAAAGAGAACCAGTAAACTCACTGTATCATTCTTTGTATGTCATCGGAGACTGACAGTGTACGGAAGCATTTTGCTGATGCTTTGTCGAAGGTAACTTTTGACTGAAAGAGCATTTTACATTACTGATGGCAAGAATTTTGTCAGAAAAAAAAACAAAAATAAAAAAAAGTGAACGAAATGACGGAGCAGTAGTACCTATCCTCCCTTGTATAAGCTGACATTCCGCTACCACTCACAAGCTTGATGGCAACCATTCAACTCTTTATGTCATCTATTAAATCACACGTGAAGCCTTCAGAAGCAGACTTTAGTGTACAGAGTTAACCACTAGAGGCCAGCTAGGGAGTGAATAGGAAGTCACTTAGACCGTTGGCAGAGACCAATAATTGTCGCTAGTTTTTGGGTTGGCCAGCATTTTCCTTTAAAAATGAGTGTCTCATGGGAAAATCTGCCAACGGTCATCCTGACTTCTTATTCACTCCCTAGCTTGCCCCTGCCGAGCTACAAAACTATGGTTGGCTGGCTCATCTGCCTAAGAATACCCCTCATGCAAGATTTCTCTACTTTCTGCTCCCTCAACCACCTACAGCACTTCCTAGGATGGAAAAAAATGAAAGCCGCATTAGTGGTGAGTCGAGATTCCCCTTCTCCACATAGCCACCAGATCCCAATTCCCCTTGTCTCGTGAGGAAGACATCGACAAGCTATTCAATCTTCGGTGGTAAACCCGACATCGAAGGGGCATAGTCCTACTTTCCAGCTCGAATCGTTTCGAAAATATAATATTCACCGATATCAGTGGATACAAATTCTTTGATCAACATGACGAATATGTACTGCAAAACATTGAGTTATCGCTTATCGTTCGATGCTTAGCTTCTTATGGTATGATTCATAACTCGGTGTTATGGCAAATCTTGATAAGCGATTGGGTTCTGGTGGTCTAAAAAAGTTTACGTCCTTGTGAAACCCTTGACTAAATGAGCCAGTTAGGATCTACTTGCACGGCTTTGGAAGGAAATAAAACAACTAATTACAACCGATTTTCGTATCAACTCAAGGAAGGAGAAGGGAGTTGAAGGAATGGTCAAACCTTAAGGACCCTGACATAGTATGTCTCTGATATAGGTATAAACTAATTTAGCGCGGTTTTTTAGTTAGTAGAGTGCACGGCGCATCCCAAAAGGGCTACCCAATGACCGGTTTATTCTTTTCCCTTGTTTTTCGGTTTACAGAATGACTTACCTTCAGCTGATTTTCGAGGCAATAGATGTAGGGTACATACTGATCCTGGGTTCCCATGGAATCAATTACACAAGACTCGAATCGATTGATCGAGCATTCTTCTGGTCCATGTTGACATTCGATTGATCCATTCTTAACAGTGATCATAGAACATTCAAACTTTCCTCATCAGATTGAACGTTGTAAACATAAACAACATTATAAACATAGTCATACCACAACTTTTGCATTTCCGTACGGGATAAATTCAATGTTCACAAATTTGTTGAATTTTTTGAAGATAGTTGGAAGACTTTCGGTAATCCATCGTTGACAATCAGGACAAAGTGATTCAATCAGTACTGTGATGTTGATAGGTTGGTTGTAACTAGCATCGTTATGCCTGAAAATCGTCTTCTCATCAAAACTAAGACTGTTTTATGGCGAGAAACCCTAGGGACCAATTGAAATGCTAAAAGCTTGTACGTTGTCTATTGTGACCTTCACTCAGTGATTCTCCCGACATGAAGGCAGAGGTAGTAAGATCGTAGTTACATAACTCTTGGTTAGATTACTTAATAATCGTTCGCATTACTTCATGGTAAATGGGTGAATAGAAGTGAGTCATGCGAACAAAGAAGGTACTACGTATCAATGGAAAGGAAAGTGGTGTGGTGCATTAGGAACGAAATGGTCGCGTCGCGGTGAGAGGGGCGTCGCGCGCGAAGGAATGTAGCAGGATGCAGCGGTAGGTAAGAAATACAAGAATAAAAGTACTAATAGTAGAATTATGCATAAAATAATGATCGCATATCGATTGAGCTGTATGGAGAACGCTAGAGCTGTAATAACGGCAAATGAATGGTCCGCGACAGCCGCGTGCGGCGAATACATTACCCAAAATCGTTCCTAACACCCGTCTCCCAAAGGAAAGGATCCACGCCAGATGCCAGACGCATGTTTTGAGAAACCTGCCCTCGACACTCATGTACACAGACAGGAGGGGAGATACGCCATGACTACCTTTTTTCCAGGAACTCGACAAGGGACTACAAAAAAAACAAGTATGGTGTAGGGAAATGTCACCAACCGTACATGGAATAACACCTGTTGTGATAACAATATTTTACAATAACAGTAAATCAATTAATTATTAAAAAAACATAAGATTTCATGAAATGAGAAGGTAAGAATATAAGATTTCTTTACAATGCTGCCTTAGGCATAGCTGATGGTCAAACAGAAACAACCCACCATGAGAAAGTATTCCTAAAAATTAGCTCCGATTCAGCTCCAGGCCCCTGCAAGTCATTCTACGGGCGGCCGTTTTGAAGCACAATGATTCGGTAAGGTTTATACTAATCTAATGAGTCAGACTGATTCATCAGCCTATGGAAACCGGCAGTAAACGTCCATAAATTGGTGGTATACAGTGAAGAAGAACAGTGAGTCACCATTCAAAAAAGAGCCTGAACCTGACCGATTAGCCATTACTTCTACTACTCATATCGCAATTAGAACAATAGGGTGGAACTCCTCTGCAAATAGGGAAAAACTAATAAAATTTCAGTAGTGCTCCTTTTGCCCTTGCACTTCTTATCTAACCTTAGCTCGAAGTTCTTTGTCGTCTTTGAGGCCTAGACAACGGAAGTCTTCCTTCGCATAATCACCTGCTGCAGAACATTTTTATAATACACCCACCAAAACTCACTCTCTTTAAGAGTAACGGTGTTTTTCGGGAAATACCAGCAACATGGAAGTAATACCCACCGTTTACACACATCGGTAAATCCACAACTTTTCATGATCTCTTTACTGCTACACCAAAATGCTGGCGGAATCACAGAACAGCGATCGGTGTCGGAGCTTTCCCAACTTTCGCTGTAGACAGGCGCTACTCCGAAAATAAGGACCAGAAAGAATAGCATCTGAAACGAGAGCAATGTCAGCAACGAGCTAACAATTCATCGGATGGAGTAGGTCTTGGATAGTCCTGCACAGACGGTATGAAGGGTTTCTATAGTGTGGGTAAGCTCTAATTGAGGAAGGTGGAGAATGGTTCTTCAAAAATAAAATTCTGGGTCTCAAATCTGCTGTACGTCTGGAAAGAGGTGCTAGTTATAGGTGAGAGAGCGAAAGGGCGTGATCGCCAACGAACCAGAAACACCAGATGCCTTCAGAATGACTGGGGAAGTACGCCTGCCTTATCTATCAGAAGTGAAGAACATTCAAAAGTGATGAGCAATTCCAGATCAAAGGATACCAAAAACAATGATCGAAGAAAAATTCTTTGAAAGTAATACCAATGGAGTTGTTGGAGCCATTCCCCGCCTCTAACAGATGACACTGTCAGGTGTTTCGGTCCGAGTTGTGGCAGCGAATCGATCACCAAAGACCGGTGGCTCTAGCGATCTCTGCAGCGGTCAGGGTCAACGACCGGGAAACCCATAGGTCTTGATGTATTTGTTTGGAATCGCTGAACTATTTCACCCTGAAATCGTTCCCGGGTAAGATAAGCTATAAGGCTGCCATCGCAAGTGGATAACAGTAGTGGAAGGAGCTCTAGGGGAGCCCATACGGCTTAGTGAAATAGTTACCAGAATAAAAATGGATGGCAGAGTGGAAATGTAGTCCCCACAGGCTATATGGTCGTATTAGTAAGCTTTAGATATAGTTTTAGAAATATTTAGGTTTCAGCTTTTTGAAAATCTTTCTCAAACATACTGTTACAACCTTCGAAGTTACTAGCTCTCCCGTTTCTTGAGAGGAATGTAAAATGGCTTTCTCATCGAGATCTACTATGTAGCTGTTTGCCATAAGAGGAAAATTTCTAATGACACTAAATTCACCTTAGCGACGCCTTTGTTTAGCTCAAGGCGAAGGTGGTGTAGAGGCAAGTGCGGTATGTTATCAAAAGCACGGCTCAGAGATCTGATCAGGACTGGCTCAACAAGCCTTCCATTCTTCTGGGCTACCGACTGACTGCCAGCACACTCGTATAGAAGAATTACAAGTTGTGCAACACCTGGCCTCCGGAAGTCGTCTACATGCCGTATTCGCATAGAAACAGCCCCAATGCTCCTGAATCCAGAGGAATAGGCACGTCCTATAAACGGGACTAACCAACGCTGGAAATTTCATCTTTATCTTCTGTTTAATCTATACTTTGAAGAGCGTACAGACATGAGTAACTCACCCCAGATCACTTTAGGATGCTCACTTACCTAAATAACGGCTTTCAGAAGTCAAATGCTGAGTAAATCGGCTTCGATATCAAACTCTGTGGGTAATGTAATGTACCACTTCCGCGAATCCCCATCACTGAAAGTTCTCATCTCTCCCTGAAGGGTCTCTAGCCGGTTGGTGACGAGGCTACATGGCGCGACACCTAGTGGGTGAATCGCGGACCAAATGTCATCAGCACATTCCCAACAACGGGAGTGTATTCAGGGATGATTCCCTGTTCCTGCTGTGTTGGTCCATTTATTTCCTCTGTTTCCTTGCAGGTGTGACTATGCATGGGTGAGTAGAGTCTGCTGGTGCAGTTCATACCCTGCACATCCGCTCAGTCAAATGCTCTGCCAATAGTCTGTGCTGCCTAGACACCGAGATCAAGCAGCGAAAAACAGGAGCTTGAGACGTTTCATATGAACTTGGAACCGAACTCTGACAGGACAATGCTCTCTTGAAACTCGTCGGCTACAACATCAGGACTGGCCCTGCAGGAAACGGCGAAGGGCTACAGATCGAGACTTACGGAATGGAATGAAAGGAGTGCGGTGAAAGACTGCCCGAGTTTATCAGGTTGATCCACCCCATCCATGGTAAGTTGCAAACCAAGCTCTTTCATCCGTGATGGACTTCAAAGCAAGCGATAGACAGTTTGTATGAAATAAATCATATCATCTCCGATCAGAAGTTTTCCCTCAGTAACGCTGCAGCTGTTCTGGAGTTCTACCACGCTCTACGGATCGGACCATCGTGGCCTCTACGCTAATCCCGTCATCTTAGAACGCTTCGTTTGCCATGCAAATTTCTGGGAAGATTGTGTTTCGAGAACACCGAGCTGTAAGCCATTGCATCAGAATGTCCTATAAGTTTTTAGAATTCTCGTACAGTGTCCTCACGCTTTTTCCTTCAGTCTAATGTAAGCTGGAACAGGATCTTAGCGGTATTTCAACACCATCACAAGTTAATAGCAGTCCTGCAAATGACTGGATTTCCAGCTAGGACCCATAGAAAGAGGCGGGACAATAGTGTACGAAACTCTCACAACGTTTTGTACAACCCAACGTGATTCGGCCCACAATTCAAGTTCTCTGCTCCCCGAAATTTCGTCTTTCAAAGCAACGGCTGTCAGCAGGGCTGCAAATATTTTTCTGCTGAATGAATGTTGTAACAAACTAAATAATGCCTCCATTCTTTTTCAAATTCCATCGATTACCAAATGCATGGCGCAATCAGAGTCTCGCTGAGAGTCCAGGAATCGGCTTACTCGTTCTTCGTTGCCGTCTAGAAACCCTTTCAACAAATCATGGGAAAGTTGCAATCACTGCAGTAACTGCAACAATTTTTTCCTTCAATCTGCAGATGCAATTTATTCCAATAAGATGGATGCGGTGATTGAATGGGAACCTCGTCCATCACAAACCACAGCTGCATTCGTTCCGTTGCACCTTTGACATACGTACATACATACATACATACTTATGCTAGCATTGATCACCAAAGGTTCTATCCCTGTCCCGCATACGTCTGTCTGTATGTTTACAATTCTTAGGGCCCAGATAAACACGAGTAACTCTTCAGGAGGCTTTGAGGAGATGTGGTCCCCCTTAGTCATACCAAATTATCTCAAAAAATACTGGACGACTGCCATCCTGTGGGAGATCCCAATTGATTCTTGATTTTCCCAATCTCGCATGGTACCACCTGTATCACTTGTCGTCCCGTTGATTATCGATTTTCTCGAGCGGAAGCCCACAACGTCTCCACGTGTTCCTGTCGGCCTACAGAGTAATTCAGTGGGTCGTCTAGCTGAGGAACACGAGGCATAGCATTCCATTCATCCCTGAACTTCGTTTGTTGTCGGTGATCGGATGTGCAGATTCCTCTCCGCCCTAACGTATAGGAAAACTCCGTGCATCATCCTTTCAGAAGTCCATTCAATGAGCCTGACTTTATACTCTGACTGCTTTCGTAAGGTCCTGCGGGGTGAAGGGCCGTTCGAAGCCACCGGAACTATTGAGAATCGGGCTGGCTTAATGAGGCATATTTAATTCTGCATAAAATTTTAATATCCGTTCTGGATGAGCGTCCTTACGGTTGTCGCGTTTCAAAGAATGCCCTTAGCAGACCATGAGACTTCGTAATGCATCTTTTCCAATCACATACCAAGAAATGGAAAAATCAAGCGAAACTACTTCGAAGGGAGCTCTCAAGGTTAACGGCAGTGACTCGTATATTTCTGAAAGTAGAAAAGAATTTTCAACTATGAGCAGGTTTGGTAAGGAATATTATGGCAATGCTGTCACGAGTCCGATGAATTCATCCACAAAAGTCTTCTTGTTATCATTAGATATCTGTCCTTGGACGAATGTGGTGCAATGGCAGGCGCCCTTACATCCGCCCGAGTAATTGGCACCAAGTAATTCGTCTTGGGAAATAAAAGCGCTAACTTGTACATTGGCGGGGCACCACCCACTTGGAGCTACTTCTCTAAAGCGCTATTGGTTAAGGCACAACAGATCATTTTAATTTTTTTCCATAGAATTTATTAGAACATGAATAAATCGATGATATCATGAATTTACTGAAGTGGTGGAGTACGATTTGTGCTCCATTCGGGAACCAGGCAATTGTATCGGACAGGGTAGTGAGCTCACTGCGATACAACCTCCTTCTCAGGTTCATTGCAGCTATTCCCGAACAAAGTGATTGAGAACATGTTCAATTATTTGTCGGTTAAGCGCCCACTGATGATGGGTAAGGAACCAAAGCATTTTTCAGAGCACAATTCGATAAATAGCGCAAATATGAGAACAATTTGAAGAGCAGTTGATAAATGGGAACAATCTGATTCGCAAACGACGAAACGTAATTCTAAAAAAAGCTACCCAACGGGTGACGGAACTTCTCCCCGTATCCCCACGACAAGCGGCAATGGTCACGCGGCGGCTACCCTATCCTTTTACTGGGAATTCAAATTTTTCGCTTCATAGCGCGCGACTGCGCGCGATCTTATGAGGCGAGCGCGACGTCGCTTTCGGGGATAAGATACCTGGTCCCTCCTCGACTACTTTGTAAAGATCTTCTCATTGTTATATGTGCCTAATCAATCAGGTGTTACCAGCAAGGAGGTAATTTTAGTTCTGGCAAGTGCAGGAGGTAAGTGCACCACACCGATTCCAATCTTCTTCCTTCAAACTGACGTTTTGTTCGTTCACGGGATTCCAGCTTCTGCCACTTTCAGGGAAAATGGCTTCTGCCTCATGGAGTACGTGGGAACATTGAAACAAAGTTCATCTTGCTACTTGCTGGATCACCACAGAATCCACTTGTAGTTGAATTTAGCAACACTAGGAAGTAAAATATTGTCGAGACATTGATGAAACTTTTCATGAGAATTTGAGCGAAGGTAAAGGTTACAGTAAGGAATATTCAGTAAGTAGGGTGCTCGGTAAAGTTCTCGGGAAGTAATTTAGCAGGATGTCTACCTAGTCTCTTTCCCTCCCTCATTCACCTGACGTGCTTGTTCTTGATTGAAATGCTTTTACGTTGACAACCTAGCAGCTGATCTTCACCAATTTGTAGCGGCAAACGCCCACTCACATATGTTCCATGTGTCTCAAAACGTGTTCCTGACCCAGAGGTGCTTTCAAGGAGTATGTCATTGGGAATGACCGTCAAGAAAAGAGATAATTAATGG